ATGTGTGCCAAGGGCACCGGCTCAGCTTCCTCACTTCAGTGCCACGTGGGCAGGAACGCAGAGAAAAACGAAGTCGGCAGAGGAGGCTGACGGGGGAAAGAGTTGGGGCTGGTGGCAGAGACTCCTGGGTGTCCGTTCCCAGGCTGGCAGGGGCCATTCAACAGCTGGTACTCTTACTCAAGAGCGTCCACTCTGGGGGCTGGAAGGGTGCTTATTTGTTGTTTGTTTCACTGGAACCTTTAGTTTTACAGAGGAGAAAATGAAAGAAAAAGCTCCCACTGCCCGTAGACCACTAGTTCCACTTTCACACTGCCTGGGAGGCATCAGGGCGCCGATGCAGAGCGGGGGGCCAGGAACGGATCCGGAGGGGCTGCCTGACCCGTCCTCTGCCCATGGCCAGGGGTCACCCGACCTGGGGGCCGTGCCCAGCCCTGGACCCCGACGGAGGAGCCCCTCCAGTGGGAAAGCTCTGAGGAAAGGACCCCAACAGGTGTGGCCAGCAGGAGGCCTGGCACTTACCACGCCAGCCTTTGGCACACGGGGGCCTGAGACCCATCGGCCCCACAGGTGGCCTCCCCGCCACCCCCCACCTGCCATTAGGCTTGACCTGTTTTCTTTTGGCCTGAAAGGGCCGGGGCACAGGATGCAGCCAGTGGGGGGGCTGTGGGCGCCGCCCTTGACCTTGCGGATTGTCAGGGCGAGGGGCGGGCAGGGGGGCACCGAGAGGCGGGCAGGGGCAGCACGCCCGCAGGCCCCACACCAGAGGGCCCTGCACCTCAGACCCCAGCACCCCTCCTCCCCCTCCCCGCCCCTGCACCCCGGAACCCTGACCCTTGCGCCCCCGGACCCCGCAACCCCGGGCCCTGCGCCCCTGGAACCCGCGCCCCCTCCCGGCCCCGCGCGGACCCACCTGGGGCGGCCGCGGCGGCGCCCTCTCCGCTCTGGTTAAACTCGAAGAGAAAATCGAAGTCGAACTCCTGGTCCTCCAGCCCCGTCATGTCGGGACGGGCTGGGGCCCGGGGTCCGCGGTGGGGCCGGGGCCGGGGTCGGAGTCGGGGCCCCGCCGCGGGCACCTGTGGTCGCGCCGCCCGGCCCGGCAGCGCCCCGCGCCCTGCCCGCCGCGCGTCGTCGGGTAACGTGACTCCCCCGCGCCGCCCCCGCCCCGCCCCCGTCGTTTCCGGGTTGACACAAACAGGCCCGGCCGGCGGCCCGCTTCCGAGTCTTAAATAAACTCTGCGGGCCGGTCTGCGCGCCAGCCGCCCCCGCCTGCGCCGGGGGTCCGGGAGGGACGCCGCGGGTCCGGGGTCCGCCCTGCCGGGGGACACCGGGGGGTCCGGGACACGGGGCGCAGCCCCCTGCGGCGCGAGCCCAGCGGGCGGAGGCGGAGGCCGGGGTGGCAGCAGGCGCTTGGGACCCCTGCTGGGTGCCCGGGGCGCAGCGGGGCTGCCGGCGCGCTGCCCGAGGGGCAGGGTGGTGGGGAGCCGGGGACGCTGCTCTAGGCCTGCCGAAGGCGTCTGGACGTTTTTGAAAAGCTTTCAAACTCCGGGGCCTCCCTGCAGCGAGGACTTGGCGCGTCCTGCCAGGGGCCCCGGGCCTGGGGCACAGATGGAACCAGGGGGGTGCTTTCCGCAGGCGCTTCCTCTCCCTCCTGCAGAAAAGCTCTGCCCCTTGGAGCGGGGAACACGGGGGAGAATAGTCCAGCCCCCCGCCTGTGGCTGAAGAGGTCGGCCGAAGTGCCAGAACTTGGGCTTCACTTACAGGCCGGAACCCAACCGGTAACCCTTGCCTCTAATCCCTCTGGTCCCCAGCTTCCTAAAACCCAGGAACCCACTCCTGTGCATCCACAACTAACCTGCCCATCATTCCATGAGCAGCTGCCAAGCTCTCAAAGGCCGAGGGGGCCCAGAAGGAAGAGGGGGTTCAAAGCCAAGGCCTGGGCACAGGGGCGGGACGCTCGCTGCAGGCGCAGCACCCGGACAGGCCTGAGCACCACCCTTTGCACCCTTTGCCAGCTGTTCTGACTTCCCCGGGGCCTCGGCACCACCACCTGCAAGATCAAGAGCACGGAGGCGGCCACGGCTCCCTAAGTGGCTGGGAGCCACACGACTGCAGAGTCCGGAGGGGAAGGATTCCGGCGACTCTGCTGCTCCCAGACTGTGTCCTCCCCCCTGCCCTGCAGTGCCCATAGGCCCGAGGGTATTGCTTTTTCCAGAAGCAGATTAACCGGGGAATCACGAGCCCTCAGTGCCCCACCCCAACCCCCCACACCAAACGCATCCCTCCCAGGACCCTTTTCAAATGGCTCGTTTTCCCTAGTGATTAAAACTATGGTTCACTTTGGCCTGATTTAGTTTCTAATAATAGTTCTCACTTTGAGAGGTAAGTTGGGGTTGTTTTGTTTTAGTCTGCTGTTTTTTGCTGACCTTCAGGCAAATGGAAGTTCTGTTTTCTCTTGAGAAGCCTCAACACTTCATTTTCTCTTTTCGGTTTTGTTTTTTAACTTCAGCCACCTTCTCATCCCCACTAAAAATTTACACACAAATAACAGCCTTTACCATCTGTTTAGACTAAAACTTTCTGCTCCACAGTTGCAGACAAGGTGGGGTCACACTTCTGGGAGCCCGGGTGCCCCCCAGGTTGCCTGGCCTGCGGGAGCCAGCGGTCAGGCCTGCTCTGTCTTGAACTGGTCTGCTGTCTCCCCTCCTCAGATCCTGAGCCCAGGTAGCAGATGCGGGGCTAGTTTTTAAATGCTTCTCCTACCAGCTCCCGCCTCCCCCCAGTGCCTTGCATCTTGTGACGCTTCGGAGCTATTCGCCAATTCAGCAGACACTCCTGTCCTGATGGAAATGTTTAGCTTGGCGCTTCCTCTCGGAGACTGCGGGTGCTCACGGGGCGCAGAACCCAGCCTGGGCTGTGACGGGGGCGGGCCTGGGGGCCGGGGCCTTTTCTAACCTGGATTAGGAAACCACGCCACGAAGCTAAGTGGCAGGGGAACAGGGCGAGCTTTGTTCTGTTCTAGGGAGCCCAGGGGCATTCTGTGTGGAGCAACCTCGGGATGGGTGGGCGGGCAGCGACCTACAAGGCCTGTGCGGCTCTGCTTTCTCCGCAGCGACACGCCTAGGGCTTCAGAAACACCAGCACTTGCTGAGCTCAAACCCAGATGCTCGTTAAACTGGAGGGAGGGCTGGGGAGTTGCTCAGACGCAGACGGGCAGCGAATGGCCCAGTCCTCCTGCGGGGAGGGAACAGAGCTCCCCTATCCCCACCCAGGGCAGGCCGGCCTCCACCTGCGGGGAGCTGCTCTCCTGGCCCTCAGCCTGTCCCCATGAAGGGCCCATCACACGCTCCCGTCAGCCAGTTTTGCAGCCCTTATAAAACACACTCACACCGTTGAGTCAAAGAGGCGCCGCACCTGGAAGCTGACTTTCAAACTATGTTAAGGAGGAAACATGAAACACAGCCACCCCCGGCCCCCACAGATGATTTTTCCTCTTGTAAGAGAAAGATTCTTTACTGCAGGACAGACCACTGACTGTTCAAATAAAGGAATCTAAAACTTTGAAAAACCCTCATCTTTAAGAGGCAAAGATAAGAACTACCTGGGCAAAACTTTCAAAATGTGCCCAAAGATTTAAAATCAAAAACCTCAACAAAAATTTTTTAAGCTTTCCTAATAGCAAGAGCTCATCCTGAAATCATTACCTGATTACATTTAAACAACAAAACACCAGAAAATAACATCACAACACTGAAAACCTAACCTTATATTGAGTGTACGCTCTTATGGTCACCCGTGTTCAGGACAAGTTCTTGGGGCTGGCAGTCTTTGAAAACTGCAGTTCTAAGGCAGGTTGGGCCGTCGTGTTTATGAGAATGTGTAGACCCCGGCATGTGGTTCCCGGTGCTCGTCAGGACATCTGCCCTTATAAACTTTGGAGGGATAATTTTGTATTGGCAGCCCTGTGAGGTTTTTTAGGATGATTTAAACACCTCAGTACTGAGAAGGCATTTGGAAAGGCGTCTCCCAGTTTCCGCCATGCATCTGCCACCCTAATCCTTCACTAGACTGCCAGTCCCCCCTCTCTGAGAGCACCTGCAGTCACCCCGGGGCCGGCCGGCCGGAGTTCCCGGATGCTTTGGGCAAGGCCGGGCTTTTCTGAGGGGGAGGCGGAGGGGTCTATCGGTGCGGCGGGAGCCGCCGGTGGGTGCCCAGCCATCATCACCCACCACCGGGCTCGAGGGAGGCACTTACGCCGTCGTTGTCGACTACGAACAAGCGGCTAAAACCAGGGGCCCCTTTTCAAACTGTCAACCACTTCCTAAGGTTGGGACCCTCACGCGTGTAAAAATGCAAAATAGCTCAAATTAGGGGCTGTGTTGGGGCACCGCACTTGATCACTACATGTAATCCTCAACAGCAACAACAGCAAGCTCAACAACCTGGAGGCGGAGTGCGGAGCCGGCACCCGGAGAGAATCGCCACCACCTAGACCCGCGGCGGGGCGCAGAACCCCCACACCTCACGTTACGTGGCCGGTGTTCGAAGCCGCGGGGTGGCTTTGCCCCACTGGGGAAGAGCCGGGCCACCCTTCGTTCCCGAAGAAAGCTCACTTCATCCCAGCGTGTCCTTTGTGGTCCTGACCGCCCTGACCTCGCCCGTGCCCAAACCGCCCGCGTTTGACCCGAGTTTCTGCAGCCGGGATCCACCGCGAGGCTGCACCGCCGAAGGCCGACCGCGCGCTCGGCGCTGGAGGAGGGGAGACACCTATTGGCAAGAGGGCGCGCTCGGAATCAGGGCTGCTCCGGGGAAACACCAGGGGGACACCGCTTCCCAAGCTGTGCAGCGCGCCCGCCGCGCTCCGGGGCCTCCCGCGCCCCCTCCCGCCGCGCAGACCGCGGCCCGGCCTGCTCGCCTCCCCGGGACCGGGACCCCGCGGGCGCGCGGCTGGGGGCGCGGGCGGGGCGGGGGCCGCGGGGGGAGGGGCGGGCGCGCCGGCTTACCTTCCTCCGCAGACTTCATGGTGCCGCGGGCGGGCGGCGCGGGCCCCAAAGTTTCTCCGCTCCCGCAGACTGCAGCCGGAGGGCCGAGCGGAAACTTGGAAGGGACTGGAAAACGGGTACTTGGCATCCACGCGGCGGGGAGGAGGAGGAGCGGGCGCGGCGGGAGGAGCGGGGCGGGCGCCGCCGCCCCGGCCGGGTGTCCCGGAGGCAGACCTCTCCCCGCGGACGCGCGCCGGCCCGGGCTCAGCGCCGCGCGCCCCGCGGAAATGTCTTTGGGGGCGTGTGTGCGCGGGGCGACCGGCCGCGGCCCGGGCACCCAAGCGGGGTGGCGGCGGTGGGGCTCGGAGGGTGTGCCCGCGCCCCTGTCCCCGCGCCGGCTCCCCGACCTGGCGGTGACTGTGCCGGCAAGTTCTGACTCTCCAAGTCTGGCTCTGACGCAGGGCCGAGCTGCGCCTCCTGCCTTTTTAAAGCTGGAAAACACCTCCCCCGCCTCCCCGCCGGCCCGGCCGCTCCCGCGCCCCCTCCCTGCCGTGACATCACGCCCCCGCCCGCCCGAGCCGGCGCGGGGCCCGGAGGACAAGTCGCCGAGCGCCGCCCCGCCCCGCGCACGGCCGCCGCGCGCCAGGCCCGCGGGGCGCACGGGGGGCTGCCGGGGGCGCACGGCCAGCAGTCTGGCCGGGATGCGGGCGTCCCAGGGCCCCCTCGGCTCCAGGGAGGGGCGGCGGAGGCGGGAGAGAGCCCTGCCGAAGTCATTATGTAAAAGCGCAGGCTTCCCCCGCTGTGGGAATTTGGAAAAGCGCTTCCACTGGCAGGCCCGAGAAAGGAAATTCCCATCCCGCTAAATTACTAACAGATTGCACGGCGGTCCCGGGACGCGGAGTTACTGTCATTTTTATTCCGTAAATATCCAAGAGGCCCAGCGGGGGGAGGTCGGGGAGAGCCGGGGGCGCAGCGGGGCAGGGGCGCTGCGCAGGCGCGCCTCCGGGGTCCCCCCCCCGGCGGGGGTGGGGCTGGAGCTCCCCGGGGAGCGGGGCTCCCCTGCACCCTCCTCTCCACGCCGCGGCCTCCCCTCCGGCTGGGCGTCCAGGACCGACGGTGCTCGTCTGGGCGCTGCTTGAAGGGGCCGCGGCGCTGGGGCGCTGATGCGTCTGGCGAATAAAAGTTATGAATTTGTTTCACGACGCCCTTCTGTGGGTCGAAAAAACCTGAAGCAAAAGGCGCGCCCGCAGCGCGGACCCGGGCGGCCTGCAGCACGCTGGGGGTGGGGGTGCCCCAGGTGTCTCCGCTTCCCGGACCGGGGAAGGGACGGGCGGCCTCAAGGGCGCGACACTAAGGCACAGCAGGGCCCACGGCGGCGTCGCAAGCAGGAGCGAAACCCTCCCTCCGCCCAGGTTTCCCAGGCGGTGTGGCCGCCTGCAAATCTGCTCCCACGCCCAGAGCCGGGCCTGGCACGTGCCTCGGCGCCCCAGGCGCAGGGAGGGGCCCCGGGGGGGACTCCGTGGCGGGCGGCCCGAGGGGGACGAGGGGGAGGAATCCCGCGCCGGCGGCCGCCAGGGGGCGCGGGGCCGCGCCGCACGCGCCCCTCCCGGCAAGCGGCTCGTCGGCCGGCCGTCCCGGGCCCCCACCCGGGCGCCAGCCCTCTGCGCGGAGAGCTTCTCTCCCGCCGCAGCCGCTCCTCGGCGCCGCCCCCGCCCGACACGCACGTAGGCGCGGAGCAGCGAGTGCGGCGGGCTTGGGGGGCGAGGGGCGGTCTGGCTGCCCTGAGATGATGGCCGCGCCCCTCCCGCGCCCTGCGGACCCCCGCGGCCGGCGCGGGGCGAGGTCTCTGCGGGGCCGCGGCCGCCGTCGCTCCTCCTCCCCGGCGCCCCCCTCCTCCTCTTTAATAAATAATTTTTGCTCCACCCAGAAAAGCTCTTTTCCTGCCCGCTCTCAATGCTCTCCTTATTCCCCGCCCGGGTGACGGGATCCCCGTCTGTTTCCCTGTGTTTAATGCCGTTGCCGGGACCACGGTGGCGGCGCGCCAGGCGCGGGGAGTTCCGGAGGCGGGCGCAGCGCGGCCGCGCCCCCGCGGCCCCCCCAGCGCCCCTCCGCCGCCCGGTCCTCCGGCCTCCTCTCGAGGTGTGTTTATAGCTGCTACTAGGAGAGACGTTACACGGATTTTATTTTAAGAATTGGTGATGACTAACGAAGTTAAAAGGAGCTTAGGACAGAAAACAAGACTATTTTTAGATTACTGTTGTTTCTCTGGATTATTGGGGCAAATACACCCGGAGAACCTTACCATTTTCCAAGTCCCTTTGGATGCCAAATCCTTTCTGCCGGAGCGCACTCGGTAGCCATCCACCCTGCCCAGACCTTCTAGATGGGGTGGTCACTGTTGCCTGGGCTTTTGTGTTTGAGCACAACTTCCATGGAGACGCCAACCTGTGATGTGGGCGCTGGGGACAGGCCAGGAGGGCCCGAGGGCCCGCTGGCCCGACTGGAGCTGCGCTGAGGGCGTGTGCTCTGTCCTCCTGCCCAGCAGCCCTGCTGGGGACACGCCGGGCCCCCTCTTGCCTGGGGCTACCCTCCCTCTTGTGGGCTTCGCCCACGCACTGGCAGGGTCCCTGGGCAGGTGCTAGCCAGTCCCACGTCCAGTTCCATTCCTCGCTTATCAAAGGCATGTCCGACACCTGCGATCAAGCCCGAGTACCTGACTTTTCTTGGGCCACGTTCTGAGCCAGCTGTGGGCACTTTGCCCTTGTCCCACTCAGGAGCGCGCTGGGCGTCCGATGCCTCTAAACCAACGGCAGGTGTGTGTGCCTCCGTCTGATAGCGCCTTCTGCCCACAGGAAGCCTGGGCTGAGCGGGAAGGACGCCTGCCTGGGGAAATCAGCCTTTACCCGAGTGTGGAGGCTGGCATCACATAAAAAAATCAGTTATGGAGAAGTTATTTTACCTTAATCTGCTGAAAAATTTTAAAAGCCTGTGCAAGTAAACCTCACAGCTGCGGCTGGGACTGAGAAAGAAGCGGCTCCCTTTGGCCATACACCTGAGTCATCGCTGTCAGACTTGCCTTTTAAGTTTGGGGTGTTCTCAGAGATCTGTACATTTGGGGCTCAGGGATTCTACACTGTGTCTAGGGGTGGCATGTGTTTCTGACCCACCCCTTCCCTGGAGCACCACAAAGCCCTTTCTTGTTGGCCTCCATGCCCAGTCTCACCCTGTGCACCCATTCCAGGCACCCTCAAGTCTAGAGCCTCAGTCACCGGTCACCTCCCCCCACCCCCACCTGGACACCTGCCCAGGACGTCAGGCTCAAGACCAAACTGCATGAGGCACCTGATGACCTTTACCCTGCACACCTGTGGCAGATGCGGGTGGGCCAGCAGCGGTCACTAGGGTGGCCCTGGCCTGATCTGCTAGTGCTTCATAAGGCAGGAGAGGACAAAGGACAGCGTGGGGCGATGACCAGGGCAGAAGGCAGAGCCACGTGCCTGCAAGCCAAGAACACCAAGGACTGTTGCCCACCTACCGAAGCTGGAAGAGGCAGGGAGGAGGGTGCCCTCCAGCCATGGGGGCTGGGGGTGGGGCACGGGCCTTCTGATGCCTTGATCTTGGACTTCTGGCCTCTGGAATGTGAGAATGACCTGTTGGTTTAAGACCCTGGTATGGCGATTTATTTCAGCACCGTGGAACCAACACAAATGGCAGGTGGTCTTTATTCCTTCGAGGACACCACGCTGCAGCAACCACGAGGTCTCCTTTGCTCGAGGGCCCACGGTCCAGGAGGGTCCTGCCCAGTCCCCCCGAAGGGCCTGCAGGGGTGCAGCGGACACCCGTGTGCCACCTCCACCAGGAAGCTCACTTCCAGGCCAGCGAGGGCCAAGGGTGCCACACCCGGGCCACTCTTGCCTAACACAGCAGTTGCCCATTCGAGGGCTTTGCTCAGGGACCCAGTGGCCTGGCCTGCGCCCCATGTCAGCCGCTGAGCCGGCGGGCCTCAGGCCAGGGGTCTCCTGCAGCCTGGGGACACAAGCTGCCTTCCGCAGGACAGTGGGCATCAGGCAGGGCACCACAGCTCCAGGGCGGCGGCTGCGGCAGAGGAAAGCGGAGCTCGGGCCTCTGACCCAGTGGGACCCCAAAGCCCACCCCCAGCTTTTCACCTGGGTGAGGCAGCACCTTCTGCTTTGCGCAGGCTCATTTGATTCGGGCTTTGGGATTCTGTCAGAACTGATGGGATCCTAGCTCATACAGGAGCCATGGCTAGAGGACAAACAGCAAACAACAGGGCCAGAAAGGACACTTTCCTGCTCTGCTAGGACGGCAGGGGCTGGCTTCTGAGGCAGATAGCGGCCATCACTATGGCGAGGACAGCAGCGGAGGTGCAGAGGCTGGGCACCCTCCCTGGGGGTCCGGCCGCCAGGCACAGCCGCTCGGCAGCAAAGGCGCCCCGCTCTCGCAGCGGCTTCCCTCGGCAAGCGCGGTGGGGTTGAGCTGATTGTGCTCGGCACCTGCGGGTTGTCACAATGCCCCACGGGCCGGGAGGCACCAGCCTACTTCATGTGTGAGGAATTAGGCGCAGGCGCACGAGCCAGGGTGGGAGGTTGTGACCTTAGGGCCTCAGCTTCCCCGCTGTGCGCAGCACCCGTCAGGGAGGGACCTTCCCGATGGCTGCTCTCCACGTCCAGGGTAAAGCTGGGGTGGGGCTCAGAAGCCACTTCCTAGCCCTGTGGCATCCGCTTGTCACCAGCCTGGCCAGTGGAAAATAGATTACATCTTTTGTTTCTGGGAAGGTTTGGGGTTGCGCCTACGAACTCACAATGTTTTGCTCTTGCAAAATAATGCAAATAATAGCTTTGAATGACAATATTATAACTTTTTCCTTAAAATAGTTGGTCTACCTAAATCTGTTAAACAGCAACCCAGGTGAGCCATCTTTATCCCAGCCCTAGACAGGGAGGCTGTTCTTACTCTCCTTTTCTGACCCGAAAGTGCTTTCATTTTTACAGGCCGTGCAGTTCTCGGGAGGGGAAGTGCTGCGGGGGCCCCACCCGGGCCAGGCTCCGGGTCTGAGCCAGGAGCCCCTGCGTCCAGGGCTCCACGGCCCCGGGGATCGAGGTGATGCCAGCCCAGCGTGGCTGGGGTTTGCTGAGCTTCCCAAACTATTTTTAAAGCGTTTTTGGTTCAATAAAGCTCTCAACAAGTTCTGCCAGGCACTTTTTCCGTTAATTTTTAAACCGGAGTGAATTTCAAGGGAGATTTAATCCATGTGTTTCTGACCCATCGACACTTAACTCATCAGGATGCTGCTTGGCCGTTTGATGTCCAAGCAGACAGCAGCTTTTTACAAGCCTGCTGAAGCCTTTTTTCTCCTTTGAAACAGGAAATGGCGTCTTGCCAAAGTGTAAACAAGCATGAACCCCTGCT